CCTTAATGCCATGCCCACTCTTTTATTAGTCTTCTTCGTGGGACTCTGTCGGCTGCTTACAAAGTCGATATAGCGACACCACCAGCCCCCGCATCCATCGATTCAAAAACTGATGAAAAGAATGCTAATAGATTAGTTAGAGGCGAATATTCGCCAAGCCATGCTGGGAATCATTGATCAATTTGTGCTTCTCCAGGTGGTTTCAAATAGAGTTTGAAACAGATTAAGCCCAGTAATTTGCCTACAATTTATAAAAAAGTTAGACTGATTGGGATTTGTAGTTAGAGTGATAGTAATCTATCCTCTTGAAAATCGGTATTACATTTGCTATCCCCAGATTCTGTACTACACCTGTTTTTAAGTGACATGTTAAACAACTTTGCTAGGCCATTTTCCTTACATTCCTTAGACACTTGGCAAACATCTCATCGACCAGAAGTAATTTATTAGGCTTTAGCTTGTCTATTTGCCTACTAACATCATAAGCATTAGTCACATTATCTCGCTTTTTAATTTTAGCCTTTTTTCACTATCTCAAAATAGAGTCAGTGCCTCGGGTATCAATATGTTTAAATTTTGGTGGTTAAAAACTGTTGAAAAAATATTGCGATGAGATTATTGCTCATTTTCTCCCATTATCAGTTAGTTTCCGCCAACGGACAGTATATTGGTCCAATCTTTATCTCAGAGTTATTTTGATACATTTGCAGAACTTTGGGATTTGTTCGCCTCATATCCTCAGTCTATTATTCCTTTTGTTTATCTCTTCGTCTTAACCCTGGGACGCTGGACACCTTATAATACCTCGAGGTTAATTTCACTGACGGTTTATCCTTCTACCCATAGCCTTCTGGCCAATAATGTTCTTTTTAAATATATTTATTTTATCCATTAGGGTCATTGTTGTCTGATCTGAGTGTTTTGTGGTAAGGTTTTTGCTCTTTGTGCATTAAGTAACTATTATTTGAAATTGTTGTGAACCTCGGCCAATCTCAGATCTCACATCATGTCGGGTGTCATTCGTCAGGTTCACACCCAAGCTCGGCACCTCTCAGTTGCCTTTTAAACTATCAAAGTTTGCCTCCTGAAATCTGGGACTTTGATGGAATTTTCCTTATGCCTGACCTGAAAATCTAATTGAATCTAATTTCTTGATCGCTGTTTGCAAGTTCGTTCTTACCTCGAAGCATTGCTAATGAGGTTTTCTTTGACAGAACTAAATCGGTATATATTATTATCCCGGTGGGTTCGGGGTTATGTTGACTTAGGAAGAAGTCCTGGATCGCTTCTCGGAGGAAATCCTGATACTGAGTTACCTGTAAGGTCAGTCCAATCATTGGTGTGTAGGTTAAAATCGCCAATATACAGACTTTGTTGTGTATGGAAGCCCCAAGATTTATCCTGTATAAGTCAGCTGTTAACTCTATCAAGATTGGGAGGTCTATACTCCTATGATTAATTTTTCCTACCATCGATTAATTCTATCCAAATTGTTTCTGTATTCTGCTCAGCTTTTTGGTTTCTATTTATTTCACACTTCAGATTATCCCTGATACAGATTGCTACTCCGCCTTCCTTTTCCTGGTCTGGTCGGTATGGAACAATTTTGTAACTCGCACCCAGTATTTATTCGACCGTAACTCACTTGAGTCTGTAGGTTGATCCATGTTTCTAGTGAATGTTATTAGTATCGATTTTTTTCGCACATAATTTGGCATTCTAATATCATCTGCTTCTTGCTTCTCGCATTTCTACTGTTCATGAGTAGACATTTGGTATAGTTGTGTTCTGAGTCTCTGTTTACCGCTGCATAGGTTTAAAACTCCCTGTCTAATTTAGTTTTTGTCATCATTCTCTAACACACTAATTTCTGTAATACTTACACTTTGAGCCATTCGCCCCACTGCAAAGTCTCTCCCCTGCAAGTGTCTATATATATAATTTCAGCAGTTTAAAGGCTTCTTAATATCCTTTGAACCCTCTCGAGAGACCTGCAAAGTCAGGTTGCTACCCAATTCCTAGACAGGTGCATCCCATCTCCTTGTTAAAGGTCCTTTCTGCCGAGAGAAGTTGTCCCAGTTGTCAATGAATGGGACCGACATTGGATTCTTGTGAATATCTACACAAGACGGTCGCTGACATCAAACCGCGCTTGACAACCATTCACTGCTAATCCTCCTACTTTGGGGTGACACTCGTGATATGATATAGGGATCCCTCCCCAGTTTTATCACGACCATAGCTGCCTTGAACTTATCACAAGCTCCTTCTGCCTTTGGCCAATATCACGTTCTCCTGCATCAGAGGCAGATACTGGGTTTGTTCCTAATACTGTATACAAGATAATGTCCAGCATCCTCTCAACTATATCCCCCCACCCCAGCTCCTGGCAAATTAATTTCACATCCTATTTTTTGTTTTTACCACAAAAAGCCCTGTCCATGTACTCCACCTGTGAGTCACTCAATAATAAAGTTTTACACCTTCCTTTGTCAGCCCTGTCCTGACCGTATTTAACGCCCATACCTTCATTTATATCACTGTACTAACGTCCACCTGTCTATCAAGGGACTGAACGAGTTGGTACAATGGAAGCTGTTGATGTTGTTGTTGTTGACTTATCCCTGCGTGGTTTCTTTCATCACCCAGCTTTGTCCTTCCCAAGGCCAACCTTCCCACCTATCTGCTATTATCAGACACGGGCTTTGCTTGTTCGCTTTCCTTTCAACCTCAAGCCATCTCTTCTCCTTTAATTTCTGCGATCCTCGCCATCTCTTCCTTTAATTTCACAGGTTCTCACTTGACCATCTCTCCAGCTTGGCCAACAAACTGCACACACCTCCCAGACCACACACATAGCACTGGCTATATTCGACACTATCCCTGGAGCTCAATTCTGCTGTGGACTCTTTTCCCCTACTGAGGTTGAAGATCGGGTCATGACAAATTAACCATGCCTTGAGACAACCATTCATTGCCAACCCTCCTTCTAGGCAGGACACCACATATGATAGGGATCCCTCCCCTAGACCTAACACGTTCTATAGCTGTCTTGAACTTATCAAGAAGCTCCTCACTCCTACACCGGCCAATATCATTGCCTGCTGCACTGAGGCAGATAATGGGTTTGTTCCCATACCAGACAAGATATTGTCCATCCTGTCAACTATATCCCCCACCCCAGCTCCTGGCAAACACACCCTCATTCTATTTTTATCTTTACTGCAAAAAGCTCTGTCCATGTACTGTACCTGTGAGTCGCCAACATTCAAGATTTTCTTACCTTCCTTGTCACCCTTGTCTATGACTATACTAATGTTCAATTCGTCTATCAAAGGACTGTAAGAGTTGGTACACTTAGCTTTTGTTGTCGTTTCCTTGGTGTCTTTTCTCACCACCAGTTTGGTCGTCCTCCTCACAACCTTCCATTCGTCTGAGTTGTCGTCATTCACCTGCTTTCCTTGTCTCGTTTCTTCCTTCATCCTCGCTATCTCTTCTTTTAATTTCAAGATATCTTCCTTGGCCCTCTCCAACTCGGCCCTCAGAAGGGCACAGCCCTGTTCACAAGTCGCACTAGCCATTACTGACAGTTTATCCCCGGGAGCTAAGCTGCTGTGACCTTTCCTGTAGCGAGGTCAGATCCAGCCACACTCAGTATTACACTGCTGTGTTTTTGTGCTTTTCCTTGGAGTGCACTATAGGAACACTGTTTGGTCGTCAATCGTTCACTGATCGCTTGAATGTTTTGCTGAATAAATCCCGGTGTAGTAAGGCTGGTAGGGTGTTGGGATATAGCAGGGGGAGGGGGGCCAAACAGACTCGACCTGGCTGCTCAATTTGGGAGCGCCTTCAGGGGCACGTCTTGTCTCGCTGGTGGTTAACAAGTGTGTGTGTCTTGAACATAAAAACATAAGAAAATAAGGAGTCTGCACTAGGCCGGTTGGCCTGTGCATGGCAGCTCCCGTCGAGAGTTACTACCACTCTCTTGTGTGTGTGTGCGTAAATAATAATTATAATAATAATTAACGGTTTATTGAAAGAGCATAGCAGCCAGAAGGCTGAAAATATACAGTTACATAATTGGGGAATGGGTTTCGATTTACAAATAATATACAAATAACATAAGTGATACAAATAAGATATATAATAACTAGATGGGGAAAAGCTCAAACTACAGGGCATTTCAACATAGTGACAGTGCAAGAAGTCGGATTTACTGGGAGTGAATACACTGGTTTATTACAAGTTATTGATAATTTTTACAATGGTTGGGACTGGGCTGTTCTTATAGCGATTAGTTCGTGCACGTATGGGCTGGATGCGGTTGTGGTGTTGAACAGCAATTCTCAGGCTAGGGATCTCAGGTGGTAGTAGGAGCCGGTGTCGAGGATGGTGCAGAAGCTTCTTACCAAATTTGCAGATGAGGTCGTGGTGATGGTCAGTGAGAGTCGAAAGGCTCAGTGTGTTGGGCGCTTCTTGATATGTGGAGTAGGAAGGGGAGAGAATAATCTTGCATGCCCTCTTTTGCACATTTTCTAGGTGTTTATGTTGTGTGGCATTTAGGGAGGAAGACTAGGTAGGGGAGGCATAGGTGAGCTTGGGAAGTATGAATGTTGAGTAAACACTGAGGAGCTCGGGTGCAGGAACTCCGAGGGACTTGAGTCGGCGGAGGAGGTGGAGACGGAAACTGGAGGATTTGACAACTTCACTGACGTGTGATTTCCAATTTAGTTTGTTGTCTATTTTGTGTGTGTGTGTGTGTGTCGTGTGTGTGTGTGTTTCTGTCGTGTGTGTGGGGGCGGGGGGGGTGTGGGAGTGTGTCTTAGTGTGTGTGTGTGTGTGTCTTGTGTGAGTGTTTTTTTGTGTGTGTGTCGTGTGTGTGTGTCTGTCTGTCTGTCTGTCTGTGTGTTAAGTTAGCTCTAGGTTATGGTGCTCCCTCATTTTATATGCCTCGTTGTTTCCCCTAGACGTGACCACTGTTAACACTTGTCATTTTTCAGGTTCATATTTTGTTACTGTCTTGAGCACACTTCCCCCAACCCCTTCCTCCTCCTCCTACTCTATACAGGTATAGTATTTGTTTTGACCTTTTTCTTGTCTCCTTCTTTATAAGTGTCATTATTTTTCCTGCTTCATTATCGTCGTCTTTCCTTTCATGAAAGTCTTTTGTTTGTCTTCCTCCTTCTCCTTCAGTTATTCTCCTTCACTAAATAATTCCTCCTGCTGCTGCTCCTTCAGTTATTCCCCTTCACTAAATAATTCCTCCTGCTGCTGCTCCTTCAGTTATTCCCCGTCACTAAATAATTCCTCCTGCTGCTGCTCCTTCAGTTATTCCTCTTCACTAAATAATTCCTCCTGCTGCTCCTTCAGTTATTCCCCTTCACTAAATAATTCCTCCTGCTGCTGCTCCTTCAGTTATTCCCCTTCACTAAATAATTCCTCCTGCTGCTCATTGATTATTCCCCTTCACTAAATAATTCCTCCTGCTGCTGCTCATTTTAGTTATTCCTTCACTAAAATTCCTCCTCCTGCTGCTCCTTCAGTTATTCCTTCACTAAATAATTCTCCTGCTGCTGCTCATTCCAGTTATTCCTTCACTAAATAATTCCTCCTGCTGCTGCTCATCCAGTTATTCCTCTTCACTAAATAATTCCTCTGCCTTATTCAGTTATTCCTTCACTAAATAATTCCTCTGCTGCTGCTCATTCAGTAATTCCTTCCTTTCAATAATTTATATCTTTATTTAGTTATTCCTTCACTAAATAATTTCGCTTCTTAACTTATATCATTTGGTTATTCCTTCCATCAATAATTCCTTCTGCTGCTTAACATGGTTATTACGCCCACTAAATAATTCCTCCTGCTGCTGTCATTTTAGTTATTCCCCTTCACTAAATAATTCTATACTACTTTCTGCTCATTCCAATTTATTCCTTCACTAAAATAATTCCTCCTGCTGCTGCTCATTCAATTCCTTCACTAAATAACCACTCATAACAACATCGTACCAGTTGTTCCTTGCTAATGTTTCCTCCTGCTGCTGCTCATTGAGTTATTCCTTCACTTTAAATAATTCCTCCTGCTGCTTGCTCCTTTAGTTATTCCTTCACTAAATAATTTATCCTGCTTAACATCTTCCAGTTATTCCTTCACTTTCATCAATTCCTTCTGCTGCTGCTCATTGATTATTCCTTCACTAAATAATAATTCCTCCTGCTGCTGCTCTTTATTCAGTTATTCCCCTTCACTAAATAATTCCTCCTGCTGCTGCTGTCATTACCAGTTATTCCTTCACTAAATAATTCATTACTGCCTTATCTTTGTCAACCAGGTATTCCTTCACTAAATAATTCTATCACCCTTGCCATATTTCTTCCTTCACTAAATAATTCCTTCTGCCTTATCATTCAGTTCCTTCACTAAATATTAATTCTATCTTGTTACTAAATAAATTCACTCCTGCTGCTGCTCGACAGTTATTCCTTCACTAAATAATTCCTTCTGCTGCTGCTCATTAGTTGTTCCTTGCTAAATAATAATTCCTCCTGCTGCCTGCTCATTAGTTATTCCTTCACTTTCAAATAATTCCCTTACTGCTGCTGTCATTGATTATTCCTTCACTAAATAATTCCTTCTGCTGCTGTCATTGATTATTCCTTCACTAAATAATTCCTCCTGCTGCTGCTCCTTCCAGTTATTCCTCTTCACTAAATAATTCCTCCTGCTGCTGCTCATTCCAGTTATTCCTTCACCCTAAATAATTCCTCCTCTGCTGCTGCTCATTGATTATTCACCTTCACTAAATAATTCCTGCCTGGCTTCTTCAGTTATTCCTTGACTAATGGAACCTGCTGCTGCTCCTTCGGTTATTCTCCTTCTCAAATAATTCCTCCTGCTACTGTGCTCATTCCAGTTGTTGTCTCCTAAATAGTTTATCTCCTCCTGCTGCTCCTTCAGTTGTTCCCCTTCACTAAATAATTCCTCCTGCTGCTGTCATTTAGTAATTCCCCTTCACTAAATAATTCCTCCTGCTGCTGCTCTCAGCCAGGTATTCCTTCATAAAATAATTCCTATCTCCTGCTGCTGCTCATCCTTCGGTATTCCCTTCACTAAATATATTCCTTCTGCTGCTCCTCCTCATTAATTGTTCCTTCACTAAATAATTCCTCCTGCTGCTGCTCATCTTCCAGGTATTCCCCTTCACTTCATCAAATTCCTTCTGCTGCTCCTCCTCATTGGTATTCCTTCACTAAATATTCCTTCTGCTGCTCCTTCCAGTTATTCCTCTTCTTTAAATAATTTCTCCTCCTGCTGCTCCTTCCAGTTATTCCTTCTGTGTTCCTCCTGCTTAGCTGCTCATTCAGTTATTCCATTACTAAATAATTTCCTCCTGCTGCTGCTCATTGATTATTCCTTCACTAAATAATTCCTCCTGCTTTCTGCTCATTATTAATTCCCTTCACTCAAATAATTCCTCCTCTTGCTCCTTATCATCAAAGCCTAGTATTCCCCTTCACTAAATAATTCTTTCCTGTGCTGCTCTGTCCTTCGGTGTTCCTTCACTAAATAATTCATTCTGCTGCTGCTCATCATTCAGGTATTCCTTCACTAAATAATTCGGCTTCTTAACCTTCTTAACTCATTGATTATTCCTTCACTAAATAATTCATTGCCTTGCTGCTCATTGATTCTTCATATAAATAATTCCCCATCTGCTGCTCGCCAGCAGAGTATTCCCCGGCCTTCACTAAATAATTCCTTCTGCTGCTGCTCATCCTTCCAAATTATTCCCTTCACTAAATAATTCCTTCTGCTTATATGCATCCTTCAGGTATTCCTTCACTAAATAATTCCTCCTGCTGCTGCTCATCCTTCAGTATTCCCTTTCACTAAATAATTTCTCCTGCTGCTGCTCATCCTTCCAGGTATTCCTTCACTAAATAATTCCTTCTGCTGCTCCTCCTTCAAATTATTCCCTTCATAAATAATTTCATTACTGCTGCTGCTGCTCATTTGATTATTCACTCTTCACTAAATAATTCCTCCTGCTGCTTATAAATACAGTAATTCCCTTCACTAAAATAATTCCTCCTCCTGCTGCTCCTCGGTTATTCCCTTCTTTCATCAATTCACCTTATAACCTTTAACCATTCCAAATTGCCCTTTACTCATCATTCTCCTCCATCTATTGAACTCTGATCTGAAGAACTGAAAGTATGATCAAAGCAGTTAGCATTGTAGTAAATATGATAAATTTTTGTGGCCGAAGTACATTGCATAGTAGCACAAGGACAACCACAATGTGATGTAATTAAGTAGTTAAATTATGCTGAGATACAGACACATCAGCAGAGTTAGTGACGCTGTGCCCATACTGGAACACTCAGCATATGAAGCTTTGTGATAAACCTTTGAGAATACACTTGAACACTATATTATTGAATGCGGCGTTGTCTCCAAAGACTTCCAGGCCACCTGGCTTATTGTATCATGAATTTTTGTAATTACTACTACATTGAATGAGAAATTGTGAGACCTTCTTGCTGTTTATCCAAATTTGCTAGCCCACACAGTTAGTCTTCAGTAAAATATGACATCAATGTATGAACCTCTGTCCTGCATGATGAACAGTGACATCCACCCACATGAAATCTGACACACACACACACACACACACACACACACACACACACACACACACATATATATATATATATATATATATATATATATATATATATATATATATATATATATATATATATATATATATATATATATATATATATATATATATATATATATATATATAATGCCTAAATATTTAACCCCCAAACTATTTATGTATTGTTTTGTTTTGTGTTTTTTGTAGCCAATATTTCTCAGCACTCTTTACTACATGCGAGGGAGGATGAGTCGCATGATCACAAGAACAGAATGTCCTTCAAACTGGATTGTCTGCTTGATAAGGTAATTATTGATGTTAACTTTCCAATTAGAAGACATTTTAAATGTTAATGATAATTATATAATTGAAAGTCAGGATAAAATGATGAACCATGAATAGTGTGTGTGTTAACCCTTAATAGTACTGTAGTAGTAGTAATTGATAGACTATAGATAGTATTGTGTGTGTGTTAACCCTTAATAGTACTGTAGTAATGATTGATGAACCATAGATAGTATTGTTAATGATAACCCTTAATAATTACTGTAATGGTAGTAGTTGATAAGACCGCAAATGGTGTGTTATTATTATTGTTAACCCATAATAGTACTGTATTAATGTGGTTGATGAACCATAGATAGTGTGTGTGTATTAGCATAATAGTACTGTAGTAGTAGTAGTTGATGAACCATAGATAGTGTGTGTATTAACCCTTAATAGTACTGTGGCTTAGTATTAGTTGATGGACATAGATAGTGTGTGTGTTAACCCCTTAATAGTACTGTGTGGTAGTAGTAGTTGATGAACCATGAATGAGTGTGTGTGTGTGTGTTAACCCTTAATATAGTACTGTAGTAGTAGTAGTAGTTGATGAACCATAGATAGTATTATTATTGTTGTGTGTGTTAACCCTTAATAGTACTGTAGTAGTAGTAGTTGATGAACCATAGATAGTGTGTGTGTGTTAACCCTTAATAGTACTGTAGTAGTAGTAGTTGATGAACCATAGATAGTGTGTGTGTGTTAACCCTTAATAGTACTGTAGTAGTAGTAGTTGATGAACCATAGATAGTGTGTGTGTTAACCCTTAATAGTACTGTAGTAGTAGTAGTTGATGAACCATAGATAGTGTGTGTGTGTTAACCCTTAATAGTACTGTAGTAGTAGTAGTAGTTGATGAGCCATAGATAGTGTGTGTGTGTGTTAACCCTTAATAGTACTGTAGTAGTAGTAGTTGATGAACCATAGATAGTGTGTGTGTGTGTTACCCCTTAATAGTACTGTAGTAGTAGTAGTTGATGAACCCTAGATAGTGTGTGTGTGTTAACCCTTAATAGTACTGTAGTAGTAGTAGTTGATGAACCATAGTGTGTGTGTGCTAACCCTTAATAGTACTGTAGTAGTAGTAGTTGATGAACCATAGATAGTGTGTGTGTGTGTTAACCCTTAATAGTACTGTAGTAGTAGTAGTTGATGAACCATAGATAGTGTGTGTTAACCATTAATAGTACCTATTTTGTAAGCTTTATCCATCATATTCGAGTTAATGATGATGTTTGGCAACTTGTTCCACTAATCCACTACTCTATTTCCAAACCACTGTTTACCTATCTCACACCTAAATCTAAATTTGTCTAATTTAAAACCATTGCTACGAGTTTGCTCCTGGTTGGATAGTTTGAGTACCTTTGTTTAACCCTGACTTCCATTTATACACTTCGATCATACAGGTATTGCCCCTCACTCTACGTCTCTTGAGGGAGTGCAAAGTAAGATGCTTTAACCTGTCTGTACTCAAGCTTCCTAATGCCCGGGATTAGTCTTGTCATTCTCCTCTATGCTTTCTAGGGATTCTATATCCATTCTCTAGTACGGTGACAATAACTGAACTGTGTAATCCAAGTGAGGTCTCACAAGTGCAAGATATAGTTTTAGGATAACCTCGCTAGTCTTGTAACTAACACTCCTTTGTAAGAACCCAAGTACTGTACTTTGTTATCCTTGTTTTGAGCACATACACATTGTTGACTTGGTTCAAGATTCCTACTTATCATTACTCCTAAATCTTTCTCACAGTCGAATTTCTCTATAACATCTGGTTTCTCTGTTTACATCTCCAAGACTAAGTGATGGTCAAAAGATGTCACCTCACCTGCTGCTCCATGAACCCTGAGATTCAGATTTGTTAACCCAAAACAATAGATACTGATGCATTAAATAATAGTGACAATTGTTTATTGAACTAACATAACAGCCAAAGGGCTGAAAATATACAGTCAACAGAGATGATGGAAGTTACATAATTGGGGAATGGATCACTTGATTGACAATTGATATACAGTACAAATAATATAAGTGATACAAATATGATATATAATAACAAGGTGGGGAGAAGGTCACATTGCAGGGCAGTTGATATTGATATATAGTGGTCCCTCGGTTAACGAACACAATTCATTCCAGAAGGTCGTTTGTTAACCGAAAATTTTGTTAACCAATCCCATTGTTTCAATGGGATATTGGGTAATAGGTTCCAGCTCACCGAAAATTACATACAAAGTAAAAAGAAATGCAGTAAAGTACACTTACTTTGAGGTGTGTATGTAGAAGGCTCCTGGTTGGTGATGATGATGGGAATTAGAAGTGGGGGTGGGTGGAGGAAAAGGGAGAAGAGAAGGGAGTAGGGGTGGAAGAGAAATCACCTTTCAGGGGATCCATGCTTGATGCAGTAATTTCACCAATAAAATTTTAAGTTCACTAGGTGTAACTCAAGATTATTTTATTTAAATCAACACTGCACTGTGCTACATATTATCAATATGTTAACTAAATTTCAGAATGACCAATAATTTCAATGTAAAAATGCAAAAATATTAAAGACACCAACAAAATAGGTGCTCTCTCGATTGTGAACAAAGCCAAACTGAAGCTGTACTGGGAGTACTGCATATAATATTATCAATATGTTAAATAAATGTTAAAATGACTAATAATTTTAATATAAAAAATTCAAAAATATTAAAAAGCTCAAATTTATTGATACTGTACAGGGTATTTACTCCATTGGAAACGAATTTAAACATAGAACAGATTACTGAACTGGCTGGGTACTGTACCCTCTCAGCTGATTCTCACAGCAACAAACTGGTACTGTATGTTAGTTCCCTCTACAGTACTGCATATATTATCAATATTTAATGTTAAAATGACTAATAATTTTAATATAAAGCATTAAAAAATATTAAAAAGCTGAAATTTATTGAAACAGGTGTATTTACTCCATTGGAAACAAATTTAAACTTAGAACAGATTACTGAATTGGCAGACTGGGCCTTCAGCTGACCAGCTGATGCTCACAACAAAACGTGATTTTCGTAAGAATTTTGTTAATCAAATTTTTGTTCATTAACCGAATTGAAGATTCTTATGGAAGGTAATTCATTAACCGAAATTTCGTTAACCAAGGCATTCGTTAACCGAGGGATCACTGTATTGGCATTGAAACATTTTTTTTAGCCAGAAGAACACAGAAACAGAGTCGATTTAAAAATCATAATATCAACATGGCTGATCCAGTTGAGAGCCTGAGCTCTCTTGTAACAGTGCAAAAGTAAGATGGCTGGGAGTGAACAGACTGTTTGATTATGAGTTGATAATTTCTACAATGGTTGGGACTAGACTGTTCTTATTGGGATCAGTACGAAGTTAAACAGTCCACGGCTGCTGCTGATTAATGAGTCTGAATCTTGTGGGTCATGGAGCAGCTCGGTTAATGACCACTAGCTTGGTTAATGATCACCAGCTCGGTTAATGACCACTAGTTCGTTTAATGACCACTAGCTCGGTTAATGACTATTAGCTTGGTTAATGATCACCAGCTCGGTTAATGATCACTAGCTCGGTTAATGACCACTAGCTCGGTTAGTGACCACTAGCTCGGTTAGTGACCACTAGCTCGGTTAATGACCACTAGCTCGGTTATTGACCATTAGCTCGGTTATTGACCATTAGCTCTGTTATTGATCATTAGCTCGGTTATTGACCATTAGCTCTGCTAATGACTACCTTTATGCTTCACCAAATGACTTGTAGAAAGTTAAGACTAAGTCATTGTTTTGAGTGGTAATGAAGAATGAGTTGTGTAAATGTTGGCAGTTAAGTAATGCTGTACAGACTAGCAGTGACCAGATTAGGGGCCAGGAAAGTGACCTTTCCTGTCTGTTTGCACAGGAGACAAGTTAATATTATGAAAGAGAAATGACCAGAGAAGAATTTGTCGGGTGCTGGGTGATCCTACCTGCCCGTACATGTTTAACCAGTGAGGTCCGTCAATCAGCGAGGGGGCATTGTGTGTGTTTGCTTGACTTAACACCATACAGTGGTCCCCCGGTTAACGAATACAATTCGTTCCACAGAGTTGTTTGTTAACTGAATCTATTATTTCAATGGGATATTGGGTAATTGGTTCCAACTCACAGAAAAAGTACACATACAAAGAACTGTATACCAGTAATAGAATTAACAAAACATTAAATATGAACTAAATGCAGTGTTGTACTGTACAGTATACTGTACAATAATAAATAAACAACAATAGAATACTGTATTTTAACTTACTTTGAGGTGTGTATGTTGTATTCCCGGCAGCTTTGTTTTCATTTCAAACAGCTGATTGTAGAGGCAGTCGATGATGACATGCCAATTTTTTTTAGAATGCATTGGTTCTAATGCCTTCTTCGTGTTTCATAATAATTTCTGCACTGTATATCATCATGTTAATAAAAATTCAAATGACCAATAATTTTAATGTAATAATGCAAAAATATTCAAGAGACCAACAAACTGGATGTTCACTCCACTGTAAACAAAGTTAAACTGAAAAGCGTGATTGGGTGATTCAATCAGCTGATTGGCACACAAAAAACGTTCCCTGCACTGTATATATTATCAATATGTTTACTAAATTTCAGAATGACCAATAATTTTAATATAAAAACTGCAGAAATATTCAAAAGACAAACTTTCTTGATATTTAATCCACTGGAAACAAATGTAAACATAGAACTGATTACTGTATTGGCGGACTGGCCGATCAGCTGATGTGCACAACAAAACGTGTTTGTCGTAAGGATTTCGTTAACCGAAATTTCGTTAATCGAACCGTTCTTTAACTGAGGGACCACTGTATTGTGATGTCACAGCCGAGTTGATCCCCGACGTTTCTGTTCCCACAATGGGCTGACCTGCTAAGAAAGTCCAGATATGTGCTACTGCCTCAGTGACATCGCAGCTGATCCCTCCTGTTTCTGTTGTTCTGTTCTCACAATGACCTAACCTGAAAGAGTATATAAAAGTTCCCATGATTGCTGTGTAAGAGTTGTGCTGCACATTGAAGTGAAAACATCAACATGAATAAGAAACAAGGAAACTTAATTGGGTGAGGGTACAGTACTGTGTTGTAGATGGACCCAAGTGATCTGAGAGGTGATACATACAATACATTTGAAGGCTTTAAATTTCTTCTTAAACTTTTCCCTTAAAAAAAAAACCTGGACAAGCAAATTTCCTCCAATATTTGTTAGGGTAATTAACATAAAATATGTGGGAAAGTAAGTTCATTAGATACTTGCCTAGGACAAGTAAATGTTGCACCTAATGTGTCCATCCTGCAGATAAGACTGCCTGTGGATTGGGTAATACTGTTTGGCCGAGCTGTCACTTACATTGTTCTTATTGTGTGTGACTTGATCCGTGTTTGATGGAGGAGAGGATGAAACTCTTGTTGGTTGAGTTGTTGAAATGGCAACAAGTTTCTCACTCACGGTTCCTTTCAGGTTACACAAAAGAACGAGCGACAGAGTGAACGAGCAACCAGCTACCTCAACATATCCTTTACTGGCTTCCATGATGATAAATGTGAGTAAGAGTCATTGTTCATATTTCCATCTAGTATTACTATAAATTGTTTAATATTATAGGAGTACACACATTTTATTTTTCCTCTTAGCTGATCTAAGTTAGGCTTTATAAACACGTCCTTAGTGTACACCAACTCACTCACACCATTATACCTTCCCTTCTCTTCCCTTGGAGGCTCATTTCCTTTTTGTTAAATCCTCCCCTTGAAAGAGTCTTATTGCATTACCTGGAATTATTATTATGATTCCTCTAGAGTCTCAGTGGTTCTTAATCCTCCCCTTGAAAGAGTCTTATTGCATTACCTGGCATTATTATTATGATTCCTCTAGAGTCTCAGTGGTTCTTAATCCTGCCCTTGAAAGAGTCTTATTGCATTACCTGGCATTATTATTATGATTCCTCTAGAGTCTCAGTGGTTCTTAATCCTTCCCTTGAAAGAGTCTTATTGCATTACCTGGCATTATTATTATGATTCCTCTAGAGTCTCAGTGGTTCTTAATCCTTCCCTTGAAAGAGTCTTATTGCATTACCTGGCATTATTATTATGATTCCTCTAAGAGTCTCAGTGGTTCTTAACCTTTTTGAGCTCCACCCCCTCCCCTCCCCCAGTGATTAATTTGAGTCTTCGGTGCTCGTTTGATCCTTAAAGGGCTCAAGAACATATTTATTTAAAGTTCCAGTGTTACTGCTTCTACAGTATTGTCCTTCTAGAACCTAATAAACAAATAGTGGTTAAATTGATAGATTAGGTTAATGGCCCTACACTGCCATGCCCTACACTGCCATGCCCTACACTGCCATGCCCTACACTGCCATGCCCTACACTGCATTCGCCTCACTGCCATGCCCTACACTGCCATGCCCTACCTGCCCGTGTGACCCTGCGCCATGCCCTGCACTGAGTGCCCCTGCGCATTAGCCCTGCGCTCTGGATCCTCCTCACGCCAGCGGCTTTCCGCCATTGCCCTACTGCTTGTAGCCCACAGCTCTTTGCTGGCCCCCCCTGCAGTAACAACCCTGCACCTGCCCTGCGCAAGTTAGCCCTCACGCTTAACATTGTCTGCAGCAGCATTACTGCCACTGTAAGTACCTCTCATATGGTAGCCCTCTTATGTGCCCAATCTCTGCTCCTTGGCCTCTGCTCCTTAAGTGCCCTCTTGCTTAAGTAGCCCCACTCCTATGATTAACCCTACTCTAACAAAATGCCCTCTGCTTACAATGCCCTCTTTTGCTCTGTAGAAAGTGTACAACAACCCCCCCCAAACTATGAAATGCCCTCTTATACCTTCCCATCTATCTGCAGTAACCCCCTCTTGTATGCGTGCCCTCACTCCTTAAAGCCCTACCCCTTGTTCCCTACTTATGGTTCAGCCCTCATGTGGTTATTCCTACTCCATAAGTAGCCCTCTTATCTGCTGCTGTGTAGCCCTCATATGCCCTGCACTCTGTCCTCTGCTGTAAGTGCCCTCTGCTCTAATTGCACCATGGCGAGCCCCTGCTCAACCCTTCCCTCTGCCCATGCTTCCTCTCTTAAATAACCCTCTGCTGCGTTGCACTCTCCTTAATCGCCCACCTTAAGTGCCCTACACTGAAGTGCCCTACCTTTCTTGCCCTCACTCACACGTTGCCCTTAAGTAGCCCTACTCCTTGGCCTCACATGGTTCCCTCCTGCGTTGCCCTACACTGCTGCAATAACCCTACCTTTCGTTAACCCTACCTTTCAAGTTACAACCCTGCTGGTTCCCTACTGCTGCTGGCTCTCACCTTAAGCCTTCCCTACCCCTTTCGTTCCCTCACCCTGCATTTACCTTTTCACTGTCATTGCTGTGCTTCCCTACACTGGGTTTGTAACCTGCTGGTTGCCCTGCACGTTAGCCCCTCTGCCTGCCATGCCCTGTGCCCTCACTCACGTTTGCCCTGCACTGCCCTCTTTAACCCTCTGCTGTATTAACCCTGCTGCGTTGGCCCCTCTGCTGCGTTAGCCCTGCTGTAGCCTTCCCTCTGCTCTTGGGTTAACCCTCTGTAAATCTTCCTCACTGTAAGTAACCCTACCTTAGTTCCTTCCTTTCTTCCTTCCCTCACTGCGTTGCTTCCCTACCTTTCTTAAGTAACCCCTCACTGCGTTTGCCCTACTGCTGCCATTAACCCCTCTGCGTTAGCCCTACACTGCGTTGCCCTGCTGCATTTCGCCCTGCTGCGTTGCCCTACACTGCCATGCCTCACTGCCTTTCTTGCTTAAGCCCTCATAGTTTGCTTTTCTCCCTGCCCATGCCCTACTGTATACCCTGCTGCCGTGCCCTACACTGTGCATAGCCCTGCTGGTTAGCCACTGCTGCCCAGCCCTACCCCTTGTAAGCCCTACACTTGTAAGCCCTTTTTCTGCTGTAAGTGCCCTACGCTTAAGTAACCCTCACACTGCGTTCCTTTCTGCGTTCAACCCTCTGCTGTAATGCCACGTTCTTCCCTCTTGCTCAGCGCAGCCCTCTGCTCCTTAAGTGCCCTCTTGCTGGGTGTGCCCTGCTGCAGCCCCTCTGCAGCAATCACGTGCCCTACACTGTCCCAGCCCTCTTGTTAACTCTGCCTTTCTTAAGTAGCCCTCTGCCTTTCTGCTGGAGTAGCCCTCTTGCTCATCTTCTATAGTGCCCTACTGCTCCTGGAGTCCTTCTGCTGCAAATACCCTGCACTGTGTGCCTTTCTGGGTTGCCCTACCTGTGTCCTCTGCTGCCATGCCCTACACTCGCCATTAGCCCTCTTGCTTAACCATGCCCCTGCTGTTGCCCCTACACTGTAGGTGTCTGCTGCCAGTGCCCTCTTGCCTGTAGTGCCCCTACATATGCTGCCATGCCCTACACTGCCATGCCCTGTGCCCTACACTGCCATGTGTTGCCCTACATATGAGTGATCCTGCACATATTTCTTGCTGTGCCCTCTCACACTGTAGCCCTGCATAGCATTGTCTCATGTGCAGTGCCCTCACATAGCCGTGCCCTCTTGCTGTAAGTGCCCTCGCCTTAAGTGCCCCTCTTATGTAAGTAACCCCTGCCAACAAGGTAGCCCTGCTGTAATTAACCTACACTGTAAACATGCACTTACGCTGTAAAGTAACCCTCTTGCTGCTTGTTGTCTGCCTTAGCAACCCCTCCCTTTCTGTAAGCTGCCCTCTTATAACCATCACCCTCTTGCACTGTAAGTAGCCCCTCTTATATTGTGCTTCTCTGCTCATTAACCCTCACACTTTCTTTGTTGCCCTCTGCTGCGTTCCTTGCCCTCCGCCCTCTGCTGCATGCATGCCCTCTGCCTTGTATCTACACTAGCCCTCTGCTGCCTTCTCTGCTGCCCTCTTTGCTGTGCTGTGCCCTCACTGTGCCTATGTGTCTGCCTCTGCCCTTGTCTACGCCCTCTTGCTGTAAATCCTCTTGCTTATTTTTCTGTCTCTTATATACATACCTCTTTGCTGCTTGTGTCTACACTTAGCAAGTAGCCCTACACTCATTTCCTACACTGCGTTGCTTCCCTCCTTGTCTTTCTGCATTGCCCCACACTGCATTGCCTACACTGCCCTGCCTTCCCTACACTGCCTTGCTGCCTTGCTCTACACTGCCTTGCCCCTCACTGCATTGCCTACACTGCCTTGCTCTACACTGCCATGTCCTGCCCTACATGCTCTACACTCTTCCCTCAGTGTCTACACTGTTGCCCTACTGCTGCCTTCCCCTCATGCTGTAGCCATCTACCCTACACTGCCTTGCCCTGCACTGTGTCTCCCTGCCACATGTGTCCTGTACCTGCAGTGTCTCACTTATGCCTGCCCTACACTTGTATTCGCTCTGCACTTCTGTGCCCTACACTTCACTTAGCCCCTACAGCTTCACGTACTCTCACTTACACACATCTGCATTGGTTGCCCTACTTCTTGTATCTCCTGCATGTCTACACTGCATTGCCCCTACACTTCTGCTCACTGCTGCCCCCACACTGCCTTGCCCTACACTGTGCCCTACACTGCCTTGCCCTACACTGCATTGCCCTACACTGCCATCCCTACACTGCCATGTCTACATTGCCCTACACTTCTGTGCTCTACACTGCCACACACTGCATTGCCCTACCTGCATTGCCCTACTTCCATTGCCCTACACTGCCTACTGCATTTATCTACCTCTGTGCCCTACCTGCCATGCCTACACTGCATTCCCACACCAATGCCCTCACTGCGTGCCCTACACTGCATTGCCCTACCCACTGCCATGCCCTACACTGCCTGGCCTACACTGCCATGCCCTCTACACTGCATTGCCTGCCCTACACTGCATTGCCCTACACTTCCATGCCCTACACTGCATTGCCCTACTGCATTGCCCTACACTGCTTAACTAACCCTACACTGCCATGCCTACACTGCATTGACCTACTGCATTGCCCTACACTGCATTGCCCTACCTTCCGTGCTCTACACTGCCATGCTCTACACTGCTTGCCCTACACTGCGTTAACCTACGCCCCACACTGCCATGCCCTACACTGGGCCTTGCCTACGCTGCGTTAACCCTACCGCTGCCATGCCCTGCTGCGTTGCTGCGTTGGCCTAAGCTTCAGGTGTCTACGCATGTCTTACGCAGGTTGCCCTCTGCGCCCTACGCCATTGCCCGCATACCGTGCCCCACACTTTACCGTGCCCCACACTGCCGTATCCCGCACTGCCGTATCACGCTGCCAGCCTTTATCCCCACTGCCACCAACGCCTACCACCAACGCTCTCCACCACCAGTATCGCCGCCAAATATGCACCAACGCTCTGCCGCCGCCAGCATCTCCGCCACCACCGCCACTCCCCCCACCAGCATCTCACCACCACCAACCGCTCCTGCCACCAACCCACTCACCCACCTGCCACCACCAGCATCCCACCACCAATATCCCACCGCAAACACTCCACCACCGCCAGCACTCCCCGCCACCCGCTCTCACCAGCTTTCCAGCATACCTGACATATCACCACCACCACATATCACCACCACCAACGCTCTCCACCACCACCAACACTTCACCACCAACCTCTCCACCAGCCTGCAACGCATCTCCACCACCACAAACATCACCACCAACAGCTCTCACCACCACCAGCGCCTCACCACCAGCATACACCAGCACTCACCAGCCCACCAACATCACCCCAGCATCATCAGGCTCCAACATCACCGCCGCCAGTATATCACCAGTATCCCCACCACCACCGCCGCCGACATCACCCGACGACGCATCGACATCACCCACCATCGCCAAACCCCCTTCGCCAATATCGCCGCCAGGCGAATCTCCTTGACGTCTCGCCAGCGCTCCGCCGATATGTCACCAGCCTCGACGCCCACGCTCCGGCACCCGGCATATCACCCGCCAGCCGCTCCACCACGCCCCAATACACCAATATCCCCACCATGACATCCCACCACCGCCGCCAACGCTCCCCACCACCACCAACATCTCCCCACCGCATCTACGCTCCCCACCACCCCGACATCACCGCCCGCATCACCACCGCCAGCATCACCGCCGCAATCCACACCGCCGCAGCATCCGCACCGCCGCAATATCCCCGCCGCCAGTATCCCCGCCGCCAGACCATCTTGCCGCCAGAAATCTCTCCCACCGCCATCACCCGCCAGTATCCACCCGCCGCCAGCCATCCGCCGCCATCCCACCACCGCCGCCAGCCCACCGCCGCCAGGCACTCACCGCCGCCGACATCTCTGCACCGCTATCCGCATCCACCAATATCACCACCACCAGCAGCTCCCCGCCGCCAGCATCACCGCCGCCAGCATCACCGCCATCACCGCCGCCAGCATCTGCGCCGCCAGCAACCGCCAATATCACCACCGCCAGCATCTGCCACCTTGAGCATCACCGCGCCACGATCATCCTGCCGCCAATCACCGCCGCCGTCATCACCGCCGCCAGGCTCACATCACCGCCGCCGATCCCCGCCATCTCACCGCCGCCAATATCCCTGCCAGCATATCACCAACCGCCAGCACTCCCATCACCGCCAACCACTCACCGCCGCCGCCAGCAACACCGTCGCCAGCCATCACCGCCGCCTGGCTCTGTCGCCACCAGCTCTCACCGCCGATCTCACCACCAGCATCTGCATCGCCACCAACGCCATCACCGCAGCACTCACCACCACAACGCTCACCGCAACGCTCACCAACCGCTCACCACCGCAAACGCTCACCAACGCCATCGCACCACTCACCACCGCCAGCTCTCCATCGCCAGCTCTCACCACCCGCCAGCTCTCACTCACCGCAGCTCTTTCACACCGCCGCCAACGCTACCATCACCGCCAGACATCTGCATCGCCGCCACGCACCTGCCGCCATATTAGCTCCATCACCACCAACATCACCACCACAGACACTCACCAACACTCACCACCACCGCGCTCTCCAGCACCGACATCACCACCGCAAATCCTCACCAGCACTCACCACCACCCTCTCCACCACCAGCCTCCTCCAAACACTCACCACATACCACCACCACCGCAACGCCCCCACCACCAGCACTCCCCACCAGCATCTCACCGCCGCCAGCATCCCCACCACCAGCACTCACCGCCACCGCCAGCACTCCCCGCCAGCCAGCACTCCCCGCCTGCCAGCATCACCGCCCCACCACCGCCACATCTCCCCGCCGCCGACATCACCACCGCCGCCAACATCCCCCCACAGCCACCAATATCACCAGCCGCCACCATCACCGCCGCCGCAAATCACCACCACCAGCAACACTCACCGCCAGCGCTCACCGCCACCAGTCACCACCACCGGCTCCACGCCGCCAGCATCACCGCCGCCAGCACTCCCCACCACCACATCACCGCCGCACCAACACTCCCACCACCGCCAGCATCACCCACCGCCAGCACTCACCGCCACCAGCGCTCACCACCAGCACTCACCACCGCCACCAACCTCACCGCCGCCCGCATCACCACCAGCCATCCCCACCACCACCAGCACCACCACGCACCACCATCACCCGCCCGCATCACCATCGCCGCCGCCACTCACCACCCAGCGCCCTCACCACCCGCCAACATCTGCAGCGCTCACCGCCACTCTTCACCTGCGCCAACCTCCACCACCAGCATCTCCGCCGCCGCCGACATCACCGCCGCCAACATCCACGCCACCGCTCAGCATCGCCGCCAGCCATCACCACTGCAGACGCATCACCGCAATATCACCACCGCCAGCGCTCCACCACCACCAGCCGCATCACCGCCGCCAGCACATCACCACCGCCACCCGCTCACCACCACCAGCACTCACCACCAACGCATCACCCACCACCAGACGCTCACCACCACCAGCACGCTCACCACCACCAGCCACCGCCACTCACCAACGCACCACCAACGCTCCGCCAGCATCTCACCACCACCAGCACATCACCGCCAGCACGCTCCGCACCACAACGCATCACCCGCCGCCAGCGCATCACCTGCCAACATCACCGCCGCCAGCGCATCACCACCGCCAGCGCATCACGCCTGACAGCATCACCGCCACCAGGCATCACCGCCGCCAGCATCCGCCAGGCATCACCGCCAGCGCATCACCGCCGCCGACGCATCCCGCCGCCAGCATCCGCCGCCGCCAGCCGCACCGCCGCCGCAATCCCGCCGCCAGCACTCACGCCGCCCAGCCCATCACCGCCGCCAGCGCAGCACCGCCAGCATCACCACCGCCAGCACTCACCACCGCAGCACATCCGCCACCTGTGCATCACCGCCACCAGCGCATCACCACCGCAGCGCATCACCGCCGCCAGCACATCACCGCAGCGCATCCCGCCGCCAGCGCATCACCAGCCACCGCACACCGCCAGCACGCTCACCACCGCCAGCGCATCGCCACCGCCAGCGCATCACCGCCAGCAGTATCACCGCCGCCAACGCTCACCGGCATCACCGCCGCCAGCATATCACCGCCACCAGCCGCATCACCGCCGCCGCCATCACCGCCGCAGCCGCGGCACCGCCACCGACGCATTGCCGCCGCCGAGCCGCATCACCGCCGCCAGCGCATCACCGCCGCCGATATCTGCACCGCCGCAGACGCATCACCGCCATGACGCATCACCCCCGCCAGCACATCACCACCGCCAGCGCATCACGCACCGCCAGCGCATCACCACGCTACGCCGCCGCCAGCGCATCACCGCCACCGGCACATCCACCGCCAGCGCATCACCGCCAGCACTCCCGCCACCAGCGCATCACCGCCGCCAGCGCATCACCGCCACCAGCATCACCACCGCAACGCTCCACCGCCAGCACATCACCAGCGCACTCCTGCCACCAGCCTCACCGCCGCAGCACACTCCTGCCGCCAGCCGCATGCCAGCGCCAGCACATCACCAGCATCACCGCCAGCGCATCACCCGCCGCCAGCGCACTCCCGCCGCCAGCGCATCACCGCCGCCAGCCCCGCATCACCGCCGCCAGCGCATCACCGCCGCCAGCGCATCCACCGCCGGCGCATCACCAGCATCCCGCCACCAGCGCATCCACCGCCACCAGCACATCACCGCCGCCAGCGCATCACGCCACCGCCAACACGCTCACCACCACCAGCGCATCACCCACCGCCAACACACTCACCACCGCCAGCACTCCTCCACCGCCAGCACGCTCACCACCACCAGCGCATCACCACCACCAGCACTCCACCATCACCAGCCACTATCCACGCCTCATCCCCCATCCATCCCCACACGCCATGTCCCCACGCACCACCGCGTCCCCACGCTGCCATATCCCCCACGTATGTCACCACGCACCACCATCACCACACACTACCATGCACATCACCGTCGCTCCCGCACCGCAATCCCCACCTGCCGTATCCCCCACGTACCATGTCCCCACACTACCACGTCCCCGCGCCATGCCCCCCATTGCCGTAATCAGCCACTGCCATCAATCCCCCACCTGCCATGTCCGCTAAGTGATCTTCACTGCCGTGTCCCCCACGCCGCCGTAATCACCCACACCGTGTCCCCACACTACCATGTCCCCCACATTGCAAATAATCCCGCCACATGTCCTCCACGCGTGCCATCACTACCGTAATCCCCACATACCATGTCCTCCACTACCATGTCCCCCCACTGCCATCCCCACATTACCATGTCCCCACCTACCAGTCCCACCACCACCATGTCCCCCACGTACCGAATCCCCGTTACCATGTCCCCCACACTACCTTGTCCCCACTTTACATGTCCCCACATTACCATGTCCCCACATTACCATGTCCCCCACTGCCGTGTCCCACATTGCCATGTCCCCCACATTCACCATGTCCCCACTTACCATGTCCCCCACTACCGTGTCCACACACTACCGCTAATCCTCCCCACTACCAGTCACCCCCGCACCGTAATCACGCACTACCGTATCCCCACGTTGCCGTAATCCCCCACTGCCATCATCCCACTGCCGTCACCACGTTACCGTGATCATCCACTGCGTGTCCTCACTTGCCATTACACATTACCATGTCCCCCACACCGTATCCCCCCACATTGCCATGTCCCCCACTGCCGTAATCGCCCACATTACCGTGTCCTCCCACTACCATGCCTTCCATTACCATGTCACTCACACTACCATGTCCCCCCACTACCATGCCCCACATTACCATGTCGCTCCACTACCATCACTCCCCTCGTCACTCACCCACATGTCCCCGCTACCATGTCCCCATTACCATGTCCTCCACTACCATGTCCCCACATTACCATGTCCCACACTACCATGTCCCATCCCCACACTACCATGTCACATTCCATGTCATCCACTACCATGTCCCCACATTGCCATGTCCCACCTTCATGTCATCCACTACCATGTCCACACTGCCATGTCCCCATTGCCATGTCACCGTAATCATCACTACCATGTCCCCACATTACCATGTCCACACCTACCGTCACATTTGTCATCACTGCCATTATCACATTACCGTGTCCCCACACTACCATCTCATCCTCATGTCCCCCCACTGCCATCCCACATTGCCATCCTCCCCACTACCATGTCCTCACACTACCATGTCATCCCACTACCATGTCCCCACATTACCATGTCACTCCACTACCATGTCCTCCACATTATCATGTCCTCACACCATGTCCTCTCCACTGCCATGTCCCCACATTACCATGTCCCCCCCACTACCATGTCCCCACATTACCATGTCCTCCACTACCATGTCATCACATTACCATGTCCCCACACTACCATGTCCCCACACACTGTGTCCCCACACTACCATGTCCCCACACTACCATGTCCCCACACTACCATGTCCCCACACCACCATGTCCCCACACACCATGTCCCCCACCACCATGTCCCCACACTACCATGTCCCCACACCACCATGTCCCCACCACCATGTCCCCCACCACCATGTCCAACCACTACCATGTCCCCACACCACCATGTCCCCCACTACCATGTCCCCCACTACCATGTCCCCACATCACACAGCCTCCCACCACTCACAGTCCCCCACACCACCATGTCCCCACACACCATGTCCCCCCACCACCATGTCCTCCCACCACCATGTCCCCCACACACCATGTCCCCCCACTCACCATGTCCCCACATACCATGTCCTCCCACTACCATGTCCCACCACTGCCATGTCCCCACATCACATGTCCTCCCACCACCATGTCCCCCCACTCACCATGTCCCCACACACCATGTCCACACACCATGTCCCCCCACTACCATGTCCCTCCCACCACCATGTCCCCACATTACCATGTCCCCACACACATGTCCCCCACCACCATGTCCCCACACACCATGTCCCCACACACCATGTCCCCCACCACCATGTCCCACATGACCATGTCCTCCCACCACCATGTCCCCCCACCACCATGTCCCACACACCACCATGTCCCCACACACCATGTCCCCCCACCACCATGTCCTCCCCACCACCATGTCCCCACACCATGTCCTCCCCACTACCATGTCCCCACACACACCATGTCCCCACACACATGTCCCCCCACTACCATGTCCCACATTACCATGTCCCTCCCACTCACCATGTCCCCACATTACCATGTCCCCCCACCACCATGTCCTCACACCACCATGTCCTCACACTACCATGTCCCCCACTACCATGTCCCCACATTACCATGTCCCCCACCACCATGTCCTCCCACTACCATGTCCCCACACTACCATGTCCCCCACTACCATGTCCCCACATTACCATGTCCCCCCACCACCATGTCCTCACACACCATGTCCCCACACTACCATGTCCCCACACCACCATGTCCCCACACTACCATGTCCCCACACACATGTCCCCCCACCCACCATGTCCCCACACACCATGTCCCCACACCCCCCATGTCCCTCCCACTACCATGTCCCCACACTACCATGTCCCCACACACATGTCCCCACATTACCATGTCCTCCCACACCACCATGTCCCCACACACCATGTCCCCACACTACCATGTCCCCACACATGTCCTCCCACTACCATGTCCCCACACTACCATGTCCCCACACTACCACATCCTCCCACCACCATGTCCCCCACCACCATGTCCCCACATACCATGTCCCCACCACCATGTCCTCCACACTACCATGTCCTCCCACCACCATGTCCCCACACACCATGTCCTCCACCATGCCCACACATCATGTCCCCACACCACCATGTCCCTCCCCACTACCATGTCCCCACACACCATGTCCCCCACCACCATGTCCCCACACACCATGTCCTCCCACCACCATGTCCCCACACCATGTCCCTACCACCATGTCCCTCACACCATGCCCCACACTACCATGTCCCCACACCACCATGTCCCCACACTGCATCCCCACACTACCAACCCCACATACCATGTCCCCACACTACCATGTCCCCACACTACCATGTCCCCACACTACCATGTCCCCACACACCATGTCCTCACACTACCATGTCCCCACACACCATGTCCCCCACTACCATGTCCCCACATTACCATGCGTCCCCACACTACCATGTCCCCACACACTACCATGTCCTCCCCACTACCATGTCCCCACACACCATGTCCCACACTCATGTCCTCCCACTACCATGTCCCCACACACACATGTCCTCCCACTCACCATGTCCCCACACTACCATGCCCCACCCATGCTCCCACTACCATGTCCTCCCACCACCATGTCCCTCACACCATGTCCCCACACACATGCCCCACACACCATGTCCCCACACACCATGTCCGCACACCACCATGTCCCCACACTACCATGCCACACACCACCATGCCACACACCACCATGCCCACACCACCATGTCCTCACACCATGCCCCACACTACCATGCCCCACATTACCATGTCCCAAATTACCATGTCCCCACACTACCATGCCACACACCACCATGCCCCACACCACCATGCCACACACCACCATGCCCCACACCACCATGCCCCACACCACCATGCCCCACACCACCATGTCCCCACACCACCATGTCCCCACACTACCATGTCGTCACACCACCATGTCCCCACACCACCATGTCCCCACACTACCATGTCCCCACACCACCATGTCCCCACACTCACATGTCCCCACACTACCATGCCCCACACACCATGTCCCCACATACCATGTCCCCACACTACCATGCCCCACACTACCATGCCCCACACCACCATGTCCCCACACACATGCCCCCACACACATGTCCCCACACACATGCCCCACACCACCATGCCACACACCACCATGCCCCACACTACCATGTCCCCACACACCATGTCCCCACACTACCATGTCCCACACTACCATGCCCCACATACCATGTCCCCACATTACCATGTCCCCACACCACATGTCCTCACACTACCATGCCACACACTACCATGTCCCCACACATGCCCCACACCACACATGCCACACACTCACCATGCCCCACACTACCATGTCCCCACACACTATCCCCACACACCATGTCCCCACACCACCATGCCCCACACTACCATGTCCCCATTCACATGCCCCACACCACCATGCCACACACCACCATGCCCCACACCATGCCGCACACTACCATGTCCCCACCATGCCCCACACTACCATGCCACACACCACCATGCCCCACACACCATGTCCCCACATCCTGCTCACCATGTCCCACACTACCATGCCCCACATACTCATGTCCCCACACACATGTCCCCACACACCATGCCCCCACATACCATGTCCACACCACCATGCCCCACACCACCACCATGCCCCACACACTACCATGCCCCACACTACCATGCCCCACACTACCATGCCCCACCCTACCATGCCCCACACTACCATGCCCCACACCACCCATGCCCCACACCACATGCCCCACACCACCATGCCCCACCCTACCATGCCCCACCCCACCATGCCCCACACCACCATGCCCCCACACTACCATGCCCCACACTACCATGCCCACACCACCATGCCCCACCCTACCATCCCCCATACCA